CATTGGAAGTGTACGTTCAATTAAATTTTACTTTCCCTAACGAAGATGTTATGAAACTTGACGGTTATGATGTGGTCGATCCGAAAGAGTGATGGACTCTTACGTTTGATGCTGCATCAAACACTACAGGTCTTAGCAATAGGGAAATTAGTACTTCTCCTTGCAATACTCATACACCGATTACGGCTCAATTATGTTTCGATTGTACGATCAATATGGCAGAATACGAAACCTGCGTGATGGTTCTTGAAGCAACGATCGACCTTAAAATTAAAATCCTTGAAGTCTTTGGAGACTCCTCTTTGGTCATACGAAGGTGATTGGGAAATGAAGCACCCCAATTTGATTCCGTACAGAGACTATATCCTACAGCTGATACCTACTTTTCATGAGATCACCTTTGAACATATTCCCATAGATGAAAATAAGTTGACTGATGCTTTAGATACTTTAGCATTGATGTTCAATGTGAGATTTCTGAATCAGACGCCTAATATATATATTCTCTGTTAGAAAGAGCCAACACATGTCTTTTCTTCTCATTATCTCTCGACCGAGGATGTATCTTATGAAAAATCATGGTATCACGACATCAAAAGGTACCTTGAGAAGAAAAAGTATCCCTAGAATGCTACAATTTATAATAAGTGTATTCTTAGAAGGTTAGAATCAAAGTTCCTTATATTAGGAGACATCCTGTATAAGAGAAATTATGACTCAGTTCTGCTCAGTTGCGTGGATAGACTCGAAGTTGAGTCAGTCATACAGGAAATCCATTAGGGCATTCTATGGCAAAGTAAATCCTACGCGCAAGGTATTTATAGATGACAATGGAGAGTGAGTGTTGTGTATATGCAAATTTGTACCACAAATGCCAGGTGTATGCAGACAAAATCCATGTTCCTCTAACTCCTTTGAATATTATGACTTCACCATGGCTGTTCGCAATTAGGTGTATTGACATGATTGGAAGGATTAAACCAAGCGCTTCAAATGGTCATAGGTTTAATCTCGTGGCTATTGACTATTTCACCAAATGGGTGGAAGCAGCTTCTTACAAGAATGTAACCAAATAGGTCGTTACCAACTTCATCGGGAAGGAAATCATATGCCGTTATTGAATTCCTCACAGAATCATCACTGATAATGGTCCTAATCTCAACAACAACATGATGAAGGAGTTTCTTGAAGAGTTCAAGATTGAACATCACGATTCATTATTATATCGACCAAAGATGAATGGCGTAGTTGAAGCTGCTAACAAGAACATAAAGAAGATTGTCCAGAAGATGGACATAACATACAAATATTGGCATGAAATGTTGCCTTTTTCTCTATATGGCTACCGAATGTTTGTGCGTACTTCAATAGGGGAAACTACATTTTCTCTTATATATGGTACAAACACAGTACATCCCATCAAAGTGGAGATTCCTTCGTTAAGGGTTCTTATGGAAACAAGGCTTTATGAGGCAGAGTGGTAGAAGAGAGCATGGCTAGTTGTAATGGCCAGTTGTACCAATAGAGGATGAAGAGAGCATTTTACAAGAAGATATGTCCTCAAAAGTTTTATCCTAGTGATCTGGTCTTGAGAAAGGTTATTGTGCAAAGCCATTACGATACAAGGGGAAAATGGACTCCCAACTACGAGGGACCATATATCATGAAGAGAGCCTTTTCAAGAGGTTCTATAATCCTGACAGACATGGATAGGGAAGAAATTTCACTTCCAGTCAATTCAGACTCAGTTAGAAAATACCACCCATGATGAGACCAACTAAGTCTAACTCAGAAGGGAGACCTAGGAAAAAATGGGTATCTTGGAGGATAAAAAAAAAGAAAAACTTCCAGGAAATAGTTAGTGATAAAATAAAAAAAAAATAGAATAAACCGCTAATTCAAACCCGTAAGGGCAACTTAGGCAATAACGGGTATCCCGGGGGATTGAAAACCCGAAAGGGAGGTCCAGGAAAAATTTAGGGATCATCACTGAGAGGTTGTAGTCTGGATACTCTTTACGAATAACACATGCATATTTATTGCACCTTGGCAGTGAATTGATTGGTCCAACTTCTACTATTTAGAGGCAAGGCATTGAGACTACTAAGGATATGGGAACTGTAGCAATACAGGTTTTAATGGAAATTCGAGCATCTCTCATTACCATTTTTACCTATTGTATTTTTCGTTTATTTTTTGCAACTACCTCATATAAGAGTTGCATCATTGTACAAATGTCGTTTCATAGGCCAATTGTCAATCAACAAAGTTTGTTTTCATCAAAAATATTTGGTATCACGAACTCCATGTGCAAATCCTTATTGGTATCCCCAGTGATCCTTGGTATTGCAGGTTTCCACGCTAATATGTATTGGCATCCCGGGTGATGAGAAACTGTTTCCAACCAACCTTCTATTATCCCCATGAAGTCTAGTTCTTTGCATTGCGTATAGTTATCACTACATAACATTGCATCTTCACAAGCGTGTATCCTATCCATCAGAATTGATCTTTGCGGCAAAAGAAATTCAAAAATGCATATGTGGCATACGCCATATCGGGTACCTTACACGAAAAACCTGAATCATTCAAAGATAGAAATACATCCCACAAGAGGATATCGCTCCCAAACCCTCAGTTGACGTCCTTCGTTACATCATGATACCCAGCTAATGGTGTCAGTACCTTGTACTTCCAAACACTCGCTGTGTCAGTCTCCAAAACACTCGTCTGTGTCTGTTTTCCAAATAATCGTCTGTGTCTGTTTTCTAAACATTCATCTGTGTCATGTTTCTAAACACTCATTTGTGTTAGCTTTTCCAAACACTCATTCATGTCTATTTTCCCTCCAGATCCCAATAACGTCAACATAAGCAGTCGTCCCTTGTACCTTTAGTCGTCATGTCGTAAGCAATGTTCTCACCTTCTAAGGATTGTAGGTCGTTTGTAGATCTAGCCTTCCTCTTAGCAGATCCCACATAGGTCTCACTTTAGAATTGTTGATCGCCCACAGGACTCTCCAAGTAGATCGCCTTTAGGTCTCTCCTAGTAGATCTCACGTAGGTCTCTCCTACAAGATTACTCATAGACCTAGCTCTCGTCTTAGCAGATCTCCCATAGGTATCTCTTTAGGATTGTAAGTCGTCCACAGATCTAGCTCTCCTCTTATAAAATCGCCTGTAGGTCTCTCTTAGTAGATTACCCGTAGGTCTCTCTTAGCAGATCTTCTGTAGTTCTTACTTTAAGATTGTAGGTGGTTCATAGATCTTATTTGTGGTATTTTCATACCTATTCTATCAATCACCACGTAGCATAACAATTGTCTTTCTTGAGAACCTCGTATTGGCACCGTTACCACGTTACGAGCAATCATCACCCATATATCATTTTCACCAGAAAACAAAAATTTTCTTTCCCTAGCAGAAAACACAAAAATAAATAACACTCACACTTTCTCTCAGAATAAATTTTTGGCATTCATATCTAATCATCTTCACCTCAAATGCTTGAAAGGCCTGTTCCAATCACACATTTAGGTTTAAGTCGATTAAATATGGGAAGCTGTCATACCCTAAATTTGTCATACCCTTTTACTTTGATCTGGCTTACGCATCTTGCTCTTCTCGTTTCATGTTCATACTTATCATTAGGTCATCTAACACGTCATGCATCATTAATCAATAATTTAGCATGGGATTAAGTATTTTTAAGGTGTAGGACTTCCCCATTTCTTTAAGGCTTTCACTTCACTCAAGGTTGGATCAATGGTTGTGGGAATAAGGGTTCACTGGTGCATTAGGGTTTTATGTCTTTTGCATGGTTTATTCTTCTAATCATGTGGATTTCAAAAGGATGTTCCATGTGAAGTTGTTCATTAAGTACATCTTATTATTTAAAGCTCACTAAAGGGGATTAACCATGGTTCAAGGCGCAAGTTATTGAAGTGATCTTGGAATATTCATGGCTTTTGTGCAAGAGAAGAGACAAGTTGATTTGCTTCGTGAATTAGGGTTTGTGGGTGTTATGAGGCAAAGACTTTCATTCGGTCACTTGGTGCACTTGTGGCATAAGTCTCTCTACTAGATTAAAAGGCATTTGAACTTGGACAAGGAACAATCATGGATTAAAGTTTTGATTGGGTTTACTTGTGGAACAAGTTATATTGGATAAATGATCATCACGTAACAAGGGTTCTAATCATTTAAGAATAAAGAAGCAATGATCTTCTAAATTTGTTTACTTGGAATTCAAAAAGCAAACACCATCACTCTTTTGACGCTTTCAAAATAAGGTGTAATACCCTAAATTTGTCCTACCCTTTTCACTTTTTTTTGGCTTAGGCTTTGCATATTAGTTTATATATATCATTTCTTCGACATTGCAAGTTCATCGTCTTTTTGTGCCTACGATTTAAGTTCTATTTCCTTAATTTTGCGACATTCAAGAGGTTTTCAATTATCGTGTACAATGCAGGATTTTGAAGGGATCTTGAGGTATTCATGACACACTAAGGTTTTTATTAAAGGGTGCATCACCGTGCCATACAAGGAGGATTTCAAGTTTCATCACATGATCATTTTCAAGTTGAAGTTGAAAGAGAAAACGTGCTTTGAATATATAAAGCTTAATCATTGAATTCAAAAAGGGGTACAAGAGATTATTTCAATTCCTCCACAAAGTCTTCATAATCTCAAAATTACATTCAAAGGGAAAGGAATTTGGAAGAACTTGGCACTTTCATTCAAAGATTCACGATACGAAGAAGATTGACACATTTATTCATGTATATTCGTGATCATTTTCAACTTCACATCTTCAAGCCAACTAAAGCAGAGTTTAAAAAAAGAAAATACCAAGATCTCATAAAAATTCATTCAAGTTCATGTATAGCAAATCATTTCATTACTTACCATTGTCAATATTACAATACAATTCCAAAAATCATCAATACATCATATGCCATTTCAAAATTACAAGAATACAAAGTTCTAAACATCACATTACAAATTTGGTCCTAAACATAAGAATTCTAAGTTTCTAGACTTATGAACTTCATGCTTTAGGTTGCAAAAACATAACTTAAAGCTTCCATAACATCTTAAAACAATCTTCATGTTTGATGCCCTTATGTCTTGAATTTCTTCACCATGTTTATATGTTGTATCCACATCATCTATGACCAAACCTGTTGCACCATCAAAAGAGACACCAAACTTCATGTGGTGCCCTTTGTTTCCCTTTTCCTTTAGCTAATCATGAAGACAAATCACCGATCTGCCCAAAATTTGTCCGAAAATAGCACAAAAACCTGTATAAATATCGTTAGCCCTACACAAGCTCTGTACATTTCAGAAAATCAACAACATAAAATAGTTCACCAATAAAATCAATCCACAAATTCAAACAAAGGGAAATATTCCATTTTACTATAAACTCTAGCTAATATCCTAACTGCCTCAAACTCAACAACCAACTTCCAGCAGAAAAATAACCATAACAGAAAAATTCCCTAACCTCCTCTCTAACAGATTCCAACCTTCCTAGCTGATTCCCAACAATTAACCAAATTATAAACAATTAACACAAATTTAACTCATAACTAACTCTTCTCCATTCTGAAACAACTATAACAAATCCTAAGCGAAACCGAATTTTAACTAACCGATTCTTCCAACTCCTAACTGTTTCCAACCTTCTAACTAATAACAGATTCCTAACCTACTTTCTATCCTCTAACCAACCCTTTAAATTTCTAACATGAAAACAGAAAAGGAGACGAAGAAGTTCGCAATTCATTCGCACTAGAAAAGAGTCAAAACAAAAAACTGAAAGAGAAATACTCACCTCTAAGATTATCCTTTGAGAAATTCTTCAGCACTTCACCTTTATCCCCACCCTTCTTCTTCTCCTTTCAACCACATCCTCAACCTTTCCCTGCAACCTATACAATTCATTCACCACAAATTCACTGAATATTCTTTGCACCTTCTGCACCTTCCTTCACGAATCTCCATCATAATCATCATCTCCAACAATCACAAAAATATGTAGCATCATTCATCATTAACTATCCTTCAACTTCTCAACACTGCAACGTTATCGCAACCACCTTCAATCTTTATTGTTTCTGCAAAAGCACACGCATCACTGCAACATGACAATTATCTCCAACTTCTTCGCATTTGTAATAACACGAACGACTCAACCGCATCATCAAGGCTTCACCAACAAGAATCAATATGCTTCAAAATCTCAAATCCTCAATCGTAATGCGGTAATCTCCATCTTCATCAAATTATCATCCTGAGTCAACAGATCTTGCAACCTTTATCAATGGTTTTCTCTTGCACAAATCTTTTGCAACTCCAAGAAAAGTCGATGAAACGATCGAATCTCCTCCGCGTCATGAGAATATTGGGAGGGTTGTATATTATAAGATTAAGGTAGAGATCGAGGGACGACGAAGGTTAGAATCGGAGGTGAGCGGCAAGGGATGAAAATGATTTCCAGCACTATTGAAATAAAGAGAGAGAGTCGATCGAAGGCTGGAGTTATAACATCATCGACGGTGGAAGAAGAAATACACAGAGAGGCTAGTGTTGATCGGTTGCGCAAGTTGAGATGAGAGAAGAGAGGTTACATTCATTTAGAAGTTATGACATCACTTCTCTTAACCCTGATCAAGTTGTTGAAATGCAACGTACAATCTGGACCGAACCCCTCTCACCATTAAGCCCAAGGTGCATGTTTGTGAGCCTGAAGTTGGAATTAAAAAAAGGGCTTTCTGACTCACTTGGTGGTTGGCCTTGAGCCCATAGCAGTTTACTGAGCGCTACTCCCTGATTCAACATACACTCCCTTATTCTATTTTAATTCCCACTTTGTTTTTAGAATTTTAGCAATTAATTTGGGATAATTATTTTATGTTTTTTTTGCTGAATTTGGTGTGGGTATTAATATGTTGATTCCTGATTTGATGATATTTTTTTCATGATTTTTCTATTGGCTTAGGAATTAATCGAATTAATGCTTGGTGCATGATTAGAATTAAGATTTTAGCACATTCTTGTCGATTCCGTATCCTTGATTAAATTTCCTTGGCATAAGGAATGGTTTAATGGTAGGTTCTGATCCTTGAATGGGTGCTTGAGTTGGGCTTACATTTTCTTATTATTTTCTAACTCATTTGGTGTATTTTTTGCAAACTTCCAATGGGGATTTTTTGTACCATGAGTCATTAGCGGAATATTTTTGCATTGTATAGTCTTGTATTTTTATGCAGGGCTATTACATGATGATTAGGATGCATGTGATGTGTTTTCGCATGAAGGCTTTGAAGTTTATCTTCTACATCCTATTTTTTGACTATTTCTCTTTGGTTGGTGAAGCTCGCATAAAGTTTTTCCGGATTTCTCTTTTTTCCTTGCTTTGCTACGAAATTTTGTTTGTTCAGTATCATTCTGACTCCGGTTTATCTTTTCCGCACTTTACTGCTTTCCGATGCCATGAGAAGTAGGGTAGAGATGTATGAAGTGGATTTCCGGTTGATCATGTCAGCAATCCCTCTGGTTTATTTAAAGACCTGTTTAGGGAAATTCCGTATTGTGTGCATTCTGTTTGCTACTTGCGTATAGTTTGTTTAAAACCCTGCCTTTGAGTAGGTATTCTGAAGGTGTGTTTAAATTTGTGCCCGCATTATTTCCCCATCCCTTATTGAAGTCTTTAAAAGGAGTCGAGCGGGGAGGGTTCACAATCAACCCCTGTAATTTCGTCTGTGTCATCCTTAGCTCGTGACGCACCATGATGCTTCAGAGTTGTGCCTACTCTTAGGTATTGAATTTGTCAAGTGGGGGAGGGTTTTGCAATCAAACCCCCATGCTTTTTCAGGAGTTCGCATTGTCCAATGCTGACACTCTATGATCGTTCATATTGTCTTCTGTCTCCTTACTCGATCTTCTATATCTTGGTTAGGAGTACAGTCGGTTTGGACATCACATTTTTGTTTTTTTATCTCATTCCCACTTGTTTTTCTCGGGTGATACGCTCCCCTTGACTAAAGCATTTCACTTCTTTTCTTTATTGTTTTATGTGTGTGCACTTTCGATCTTGTTTGTTTTATCCTTGTAAATACCATGTTCCCTTAGGATATGCTTGTTCCTTTTGGATGCAAGTTTGGCCTTAGGTTGCAAGCCATGCATGCTAACATTAGGTATAAATTTCCCTTTCATCCTTGACGTAGGGTTATCATTGTATGATAACATTAGGTTAGAAATAGGCTAGTCTCACTTAGACTCTTTTCTTCCCTTTATTTCATATACATTTAAAACTAAAACTTTTTCCTTAGCAAATCATTAAACACCCTAATCATACCTAAACCCTATTTCAAGGTAACAAAACAAAAACCAATCAAATAAGGCATCTTGTCTTGAGGGCGTAACTCAAAACCATTTTCAGTAAGGACATGTTAATTTACTTCTGTGCCAATGTGCGAGTCATCAAAGGTCGAGCTGTGACAAAAGGGCGGAATTAACATTGTTCATAAAAAACACAAAACAAACAAAACATGTGAGTCGAACTACGGTAACTAAGATTCCTCAAAAAGGATAAGTAGGCATTGTAATAGGCCCCAAGCGAGCACAACTTTATTTTCCCTACATTATTTTCTCATTCCTTTTCCATGCATTCTTCCTCAGTAGTAAACAGTAAGCATAGATTAAACACACCCATAATATAGATAACAAGAGTGGATACTATAGAGTACTACGGGCGTGTGGAGTGCTAATACCTTCCCCTCGTGTAACAGTCTCCCTTATCTGTTCTCTCGGTCACAAGACCGTGACTTCCCCCTTCTTAGGTTTTCTCTATGTTTAACTTTCCCTGCATATGGGATAAAAGACGTTCGATGGCGACTTCATTTTTTGATGATTTTCAGTCGGTTGTTTCATAAGGAAATTATGGATAAGGAGCTTGATATACAATGTACGCCAAGTACATCCCCTATTCTATTACAACATCTGTAGCGGTAGAAATGTTGAGACTAAGCCATTGGATTGACTTAACTCACACAGATAAAATAAAAAATCGCCACCGTGCTTTATTGTTTCCAAAGTAATAGGAAAAGAGCGAATAACCCAAAAAGAGGTGGAGAGAATCTAAGTTTGGGAGTTGGTTATGAAAAGGAAAGGTATTAGCACTCTAAACATCTACGGTACTCCGCAGGAACCTCTTTATAAATATGTGTGTTTTAGCTATAAATGTTGTATACAAAAAATAGATTGTGGGGATGAGAAAATAAGTATATTTTTATAATTTTTGCACCCACCGTGGTTATGAACCTTTAGTGCCTACGTACCATCTTCCGTGCAATAGGGGATCAAGGTACTCGTAGTTCATCTTTAAAAATTTAAAATGCAAGTGTGTTGGTTAATTTTAAGAGACAAGGCATCATCGTCTTATCCGAGTGGAAGAACATACTTACTACCCACAATTATGAGAAAGGAGAATTTGCATCATCTCAAAGTGGGGAATATGACTTAGATTTTAAAATCGACAAAGCCTTACTCAACACCCAAGTGGAAAATATCTCACTTCACTACATATCATAGAAGAATAGTAACTCACATCACTACAAAGATTGACAAGGTCTAATCTTTTGAGAAAAAAGTTTTAAAATAAAAGCCAAAGTGGCAAAATAGTTTGAATGAGATTAATTTACTTTTACTCTTCTCACAAAAATGTCAAGGTATTATTAAGTTGATTAAAGTTTAATTAAGAAAATATTTTTGAAAATGCATGGACCTAAGTCCATGTTTATTGTGAAAGCGGTTCAAGTTTAGAAACAAGAAGAGTTTTCAAAAGGAGGAAGAAGATTTTTGAAATTAAATAAGATGAGAAGAGATGAGGGGACTATCCTAAAGCATAAGGTAAAATCTAGAGAAATGAACCGTCTAACCAACAAGAAGCCAACACTTGACATAATGAGTCAATGTAGAATTACCATTCTTTGGATTTGAAACCAAACAAGAAAAGATAAAAGACCTCTTGAGAAAACCAAACTTAAAATGCATTTAGTCTTCATAAAAATTGGGCAGAGTAACGGCTGTATACAGATAAATTCCCAATCACAGACAAAACATATAACCATAATGACCTGCATACAAAGAAAACAAACAACCCAATGTTTTGGGGTAAACCCCAAGAACTCCAGACAATATTGTAATAAAAGTCACAAGGTCTCAAGGTAGATCAAGGTCTCTAATCTTAAGTCCAAGAAGTCCATCACTCCATAATTCCAAGGATAGTAACCAAATGGTCCAAGTAACATTAAGGTCTTTTTTATGGTTCAAGTTGAGTATTAAGTATCTTCAAAAATAAATGAAAAGCTCAAGTGAGCAAAATGAAAATGACATAAAATTAAATGCTCAAATGAGCAAAGATGAAAATAGCAGGAAATGTAAAATGCTAAAGTAAATGGTGCATAAAGTAAAAGCATGAAGTAAATGCACAAAATAAATTCAATTGTTAGAAAGTAGAGGTTAGTTGAATGACCATCTTGAAACTTGCATTTGAAACTCATTAGAGGATTGATAAAACCAAAGCCTCTCAACATCAAGTTTTACTTTTTTTTTCCAAGTATATCATTCATCTCAAAATCTCAAGGGAATAATAAATGATCAATGATTTTTAAGTGATTCACTTTGACCAAAGCTTATGAAGATTCATTAGAGGATTGATAAGACCAAAGCCTCCAAACAATGAATCACAAGATTATTGGATAAAAGGTTTCAAATTAACATACTTGGGCTTGCAAACATAGGTTTGGGCCATGAATGATCATTTCTAGAATCGGGATAAAATTTAGTGCTATGTTAAGAAATCGTAAGTGGACTTATATAGAAGTCGCAACTATTTTTAGGTCGGTCAATAGCAATCTATGTATCATATGTTTAGAGAAATGATATGTAAATTATTCTCCAACAATATGTAATAAAAGTAAGAAGTGAGTAAGATGAAGAGGGAAGGGATAAGAATCAAACCACATTTGAACTAAAAATTTAACCAAGCTATCATTAAAATCAATCATCCATTTTGGAGTTAAACTCAACACCCAAGATCCAATGATGTTAATGAAGCTCATGATCAAAATCTCATAGTTCAAGATCAGCCAGAATATATACAAAAATAAAATTGTATTTAAAAATAGAGAAAAGATTTTTTTAAAATGGTTTTAAATGAAAATAAAAGGGAAATATAGCAACTATATTCAAAACAATCAAGAAAAATTCAATGAGACCATAGAAAAATCATAAATGAGCTCAAATATTTTTATAAAAATTTTGGTAATTTTTTAAAATCGGAAACTATTTTTTAAATTAAAAGAAAGGGGCAAAATAAACAAAAAATTATGAAAAATTGTAAAGTCAGAAATAAAAATAAAATGAGGTCCCCAATATTTGTCAAGAGGTCAATTGATCCTTCCATATTTTTTTCAGAACTTATAAATTCAGAAAAGTATTTTTAAACTTTTAAAACAACTCAAGTAAAGTGAAAAAATGTAAAAAATGACAAAACACAATAAAAATCAGGAAGAGAAAAATCAAAAGTATTTTTAAGAATTTTTTTAGATTTTTTGAAGTTAAAATGAATTTCTTATGAATTTTTTAAGTTTAAAACAAATAAAATATAAAATCAGAAAATAAAATAAAAACCAAAAAGATGTAGACCATTTGATCATTGTCAAAATGCGTTAGTAATCAAATCCAAGGGATCTGGCGCACTGTGCATATCATGGTCATTAGTCAATAAAGCACTGAATC